GTATGTATGTATGTGAACACATGTGTAAGCTTGTGTGTGGGTTTATATGTCTGTGTTGGGTGTGTTTGCATGTATGTAGACCAGAGGATAACTTCAGGTGTTGTTCTTAAGGCACAATCCATCTTTTAATTTTTTTAAGACAGTGTCTTTCTAACAAGGAAGAACATATAAATAGTCTAGGGCTCCCACCTCCCCAACCCTAACACTGGGACTGGGAGGACACACTGCCATGCCCAGCTTCTTATTTTACACAGATTTTCGTGAGAGAACTCAGTACTTTATTGACTGAATTAACATCCCAGGCCACATATTCTATGCTCCTAAATGATGATAATGTAGAATGTGTATTATATTAGGTTTCTAGGTAATTCTTGATTTCAACTATCAATGTGTTATCATGTAGAGGAGATGAAAACCCAGGAAAGAGAAGACCATGGGGTATACCATCTCATGGCCACTTGAACATAAAATCTCTTCAAGAAAGAAAAAATTGAGACTGGACAAACCCTGGTTATGAACACCACTTAAAACAAGACTCTGGAAAGACCCAGAGGCACTGGAGGCCACGCCCCAATGGCCATACAGTATAACTGGTGCCACGTGTTGGCCTGAAGGTCACATGTGGAGATAAGTTCCATACAGGCCTTCTATACCCTCTGTAAGACCCACTGATGTGTCCAACTCCAGAGACTATGAGAGCAGTCTGAGTACATGAAGACACGGAGTAGATTAGGGACCAGTGAACAGTTTCACATGAGGTTGCTTTGGAAGGGTGCGGCTGAGGTTTAATTTGCTTGTGAGGAATCATTCTCCCAGTGAAGTTGTGAAGGAATGCCAAGGAGAGTTTAACAGATGAAACTTCTCACTAACCTAAGCATCTAGCATCTACAACCAAAGAGGGAGATCTGCACAACGCCAAACATTACCTCTTCCAGGGATAATGCTGCAATAGATCACGCAACAAAGATGATTACAACAGAAAATCTACCCTATGTGTGTGTAAAGACTGGGTCGGAATCATGTTGGAGTCTGATCAGTTTCCTGACACTCCTTTGAACACACACCTAACTTTTCATCTCTTTGAGAGGAGAACTTCCTGGTGACTCCTGGGACAAGGAGTTGAGCTCGCAAGTTCCCAGTTGCCTTTGCTGCTTTGGCCCTGTGGTTTTCTTCTGGTGCCAGACTCGCATTGAGTGAGACCTAGGTCAGCCTGACCTGCAGCCAGTAGTAGGACAGTGTGGTGTGACCCTTCCGCCATGATGGAGCAGAACCCATCAGTGTGCTGTTACCGGGTCCTCGGCCACATGCCAAGTTGAAAAACAAACCCCAAAGGGCTTCTTTATACAAAAAAAGAAGTATTAATTTTGTCTTCTACTTTTTTAGGTTGCTCTATTGCCCTGAGAGGCTAGATTGTCATCACAAAACTGTACAGTGGGACAGAGAGAATCCTGATGGTTTGTCACTTTGGGAAGTTTTATCCAGGAAGGGACACCAGGAACTATGGGCTTTGGGGTTCAGCAACAGACAGTGAGCAGAGTCAGCTGCCAAGAGCTTTTTTGGCGAGGGCAAAACATGCACCGTTCATATAGATCTGTACTCAGGGTGACAGTTCAGGTATGTTTCCATAGCAACCACTTAATTAAATGAAAGCAAGAAAGTGCTATACCTTTGTAGTGTACATTTCTCTGAGTTATCCCTATCAAGGAAATAAAAGGAAACATTTCTGAGATTTTTATCTTATAACTCAGTCTGACCTGCAGAATTGTATAGGTTCTTCTAAGGTTCAAAACACAAATGCCATTTTTTTTTTGAAGCTGTACATCACTATGTAGCCTTGGCAGGCCTAGAATGCGCTGTGTAGATCAGTCTTGCCTCAAAGAGAGACCTGCTTGCCTCTGCCTCCCAAGGTTGGGATTAAAGGCGTGTGCTTCCCTACCTGGTCACTAAAGCCAAATTTAAGGGCCGATGCAAATGTCTAGAAAACAGAAAGCTCCAGGGCCATCATTAAACTGATCCTGATGTCATGAGTTGGCTCCTCTGTACTGGGAGTCTGCGTGGTGGATACAGACCATTTGGTTTTATAATAGGCCTTTCCACCCTTCTCGGAGGCATCTTACATATAACAGGAAAAGAGTTATGCATTTTTATAGTAATACACAAAATTCCCTACCCAGGGCCTTTTGGAGTTATAACTATACTGCAGTGTTGGGCACCAGATCCGGGGCCTTATGCCTGCTGGGAAACTTTCTACAGCTGAATGATTACCCCAACATCTTGGTTTTGCTTAGAGAGAGAATCTTGTGCTGTGGACTAGACTGCATTTGAACTCACAGCTATCCTCCTGCTCAGGCTCCTGACTGTTGGATTACAGGTGTGTACCACAGGCACCAAGCTTGAGCATTACATTTAAATGACATCACTGAGTGTGATCAGAACCAGTCAATCTTGGATCTCGTATTTTTCTAGAATACTCTGCACACACATACATCTTACTTTTCATACAACAAATCACAAAATTGAGGAAGGGTCATCTGTATCTTTGTCATCTATGTATCTATTTGTATATACAAATGTTTCCTACCACTTTTGAAAGCTCTTATTATGTATTTTTTCAAACCACTTCCAAACCCAGGTTTGAGGGGTGGTGGCGTGGCTGGGGTCGAGCACTTGTCCAGCATACACAGCAGCTAAGAGCAAATGCAAGACAGAGTCAACTCCTGACTTCGGGGCAGTAGAGATACTGGGGTCAGATGATATTTTGTCCATCTTTAAAGCTATATACATAGAACTCTCTGGATGCTTCTAGGCAAATTTGGTAATTTCCAAGGCAGAAGGCAGTCTGCTGTTCTGGAGTCAGAGAAGACAGCTATGCTTTGTCCTGCGGAGGCCTTGGGATATCTATCTGCATTGCTCAGTATGCTGCATCCTGGTAACAGTGATGAACTGGGGCCCTGGGTCCTGCCTCTAATTCCTATAAGCTCCTTCACTCGCATTTCCGTATGTTGGCCTCATCTCCCAAGTGCAAAGAACTACAGGGTATGCCTGGGGAAATCACTGCCTAGTCTAACCTGGAGGAGCTGAACTGGCCCCAGTGGTAGCAACACATAGCATAATTCTCTCCCTTGCAGATGGCATGAAGTCCCCCAAACCTTGTCTGCCTCTCTCATTTCTCTCATATTCGGCCATCACTCTCTTACAGTCTCTGGACTTTCACCCCTCTTTTCTCTCCCTGTTATCAGTCTGTGGCTGCAAGATAGATAGTTTTCACTTCCAACTATTTGGAAGATACATTGAAACAGACAAAACACACAAAACGGTTTTCCAAACAAGCATAGTTGTCAGTTTACACCCCCAGTTAAGTTTTACAATGAATTTCTGGAACTTCCATATAGTTTTTGCATATATTTAGTTCATGGTGGAAATCTAAAACAAACAAATAAACCAATCAACCAAACAATCAAAAACAAAATCTACAATTTGGTTGTCATTTCAGTCTGAGGAGTCTTTGTAACCTCATTCCACTGCACTTTAACTGTTAGAGGTCTCAGCAAAACATTCTTCAAGAAAATTCTTACACAAAATGGGAGCAATGGAGCATTAACAATTTAATGTTGACTTCTGGCAAAAATCACAAAATTCTATGAATAGTTTATATCATGTTCAATGTTGGAAAGTTGAAAAATATCACAGGATGTGGCACCAAGGACAGTGTGAAGGCTGCAAGGTCCTTCTCTGGGCTTCATGTGAAGGCTTTCATCCCCAGAGAAGGGCTGTGATTGGGGGAGGCCCACAGTGTTCCTTCTCTTCTGGTTACTCATTTCTCTGAACCCAATCGACACAGATCCCCTCTGTCACCCAAGGGTTAATAAGGGACATCTGGGTGGAGTGGGAATGGTTCTGTGTCAGGTCAGGATTTTATGAAGTGAGATACTAGTGTCAGACCAGAGGCTCAGGCAAGGGTGTAGTTGCTCAAAGTTGGGGGTGAAGCCAGATATGGTAGTGGGTGCAACATCAGTCAAAAGCTCCCCCTGTTGAGACTTTCTGAATGTGTCTTCCAGCCTTTGGGGCTGCCCCAGCACAATCCTATGGTGGTGGGAGATGCTTTCTCCTCTGTATCCTTATGCCATGGCTGTTATTTCCAGGGGAAAGCAGTGTGGGCCCTGTGGTCATGGAGCATGGCTGCAGACAGGGAGAACCCATTGTATTTCCATAAGGTCCTGCTTTAGTTGGCTCAATGGGAGAATGAGCAGAACTGTATTTCTGGCTCCCTGATGTCCTAGCATAACAGTGAAGGATGACATGACAGCTAGTATATAATGCCAGCATTAAAATATTGAGTGAATACCGACGAGATGCCCTTGGCAGCCCTGTGGTGGGAGGGTATAAGTGGCTGGGTTAAGAATCACAATTAGGTCCTTCAGTCCTTTCAGGGAGATTAGAGACACAAAGCTTTGATTTCTGGAGGAAAAGGCAGAACTGGGGCTCAGATCTCCGAGTAAGAAGGCTCTGCCCGAGGCATGGGGCATGGCCCTTTCAGAGGCACAGGTAAGTAGGACGTGCAGGTCCAGATGTTGTGGGAAGCACCTGGGAAACTCTCAGGAGCTGCACATAGCTGATACTCCCAGCTGTGGACTTTAATACTGAGGCTGGCCTTCTAGATAAATTTAGAAATGAGATTTAAAGGGCATTCCTGCTAATCCTTATTTACTTAAAGAAAGGAAAACACTTTCTTTACTTGAAGCAAAACTATTTCTCACATCTTTTAGAATACTGTACTATTCATATATACACATATGAATACAAATATATTAGTAAAGAAATATATCTTCTTGGATTCAAAGTTTGGCTACAGAGGCGGCTACGGACCCTGTCTCTCTTTAGCAGCCATTTCACCATACACTGTGAAAGCAGAGCCCTGTTTCTTTCTATACACTGATGCAGCTTTAATATTGTAGTGAAGAAGGGGATAATTGCATGCAGCTGCGAGCAGGTAGCATCACCTGGTCCTGGGATTTCTTTTTCTTCTTCTTCTTGCCCCAGCACCCGGAACTCTCCGCATCCTTGCCGTTGGCCTCCCCACAGAGCAGCCCGTCCAGCTCGTCTGTGCCCATGTGCTGTCCCTGAGACGTTTCTGCTGCTAGCCGGTAGGAGAGGTTCCTCAAGATGCACACACAGTTTTCAACGGTCTGTAGCGTCCAAAAAGAAAAAGGGAAACAGAGGAGTGAGTGTAAGCCAATCAGCAGACGCCTCCACTGGGAAGGCGGGGAGGAGTGAATGTAAGCCAATCAGCAGGCACCTCCACTGGGATGGCAAGGAGGAGTGAGTATAAGCCAATCAGCAGGCGTCTCCACCCTGGGAAGGCAGTGGACACATTGGTCCTCACTGCATTTAGGGCCTGCTTTCAAGGGCTCCACTACCAGCTACCAGAATTTGGATATGGTTGGAAGGTTCTAAGACCATGTCTCACTTGACAGACAATAATCATCAACCCTGGGTATTTCAACAAACACCAGTCATGGGAAATTAAAATGCACTTGTGAGAACTGGACAAACTCACAACTACAAGATCACCATTTACAGACAACTCCAGCCAGGAGTTTAGGAACCCAAGTCACTAAATCACGGGGTGGGAGTGGGTTCAGTTCGGCTCTGGTTGGGGATGCTGTTGCATGTCATTTACCAAGGAATAATACCGTTTCAGTGATGCTGGAGACGGCACAGAGGATGTCGTTAGCCTGGGACATTCAACATTCGTCTTGGCTTTGGTGTAAATCCTACCTCTGCCCCAGTGGCTGTGTGGCTCTGCACACTGACTGCCCCTTTCGTCCGTCTGTCTCTTCATTGGTAAGCCAGTAATGATAAAAGGTCCAGTACCACAGAACTGTGCAGAGGACGGGGTGAATTTAGAGACCCGGTGCCATTTGTTGCTGTCACCGGTATGTTGGGGAGATGAGGCAAAACAAGTTCTAGTTGTTTCCAGAAGCTGAGAGCAAGATTCAGGAAACTGCATCCTGCAGGCTGGAGCCAACCTGAGGCTAGTCTTACTATAATGCTTTCACAAACCTGGCAGGCCCGTGTGTTTATGACCACCCTGCAGAGGGCAAAACACATCCCAGGCCTGCTATCGGGGAAACAAGAGAATTGAGACAGAGATTATGGGGCTCACATTTGCCCTTTGACCCTCTGCAGAAAGTGCTTCCCTGAGTGTCTGTGTTTGTGTGTCTGTATATCCGTGTCTACGTGTCTGTATGTGTCTATGCGTGCCACAGCACACACGTGGCGATCAGAAGACCGCTTCCTGTAGAAGTTTCTTTCCTTTCACTGTGTGTTTTGTGGATCAAAGTCAAGCTGCCAGCAGCCTTGTGCAGCAAGCATCTTTACAGGTTGAGCCATATCACGGGGCCTCAAAATTGACCTTTTAAATTTTATTCTCAGGGAAAACAATCAGGGGAAGTTGAAAACAAACCCTTGCACCTTAGCAATTATGTTTCCGAGACCCACTCTGTGAATACTAAAAGCAAGAAACCTAATTTCATGCTGAAGAGGGAAGGGGATGGGGGAAGACAACCAGCGGCTGCTCACGGATGCAAGCCCTCCCGCTCCAGTCTGGGCTCAGTGCCAGCGCAGGCAGAGGACACGGGACTCAGATCCTAGCCTGTTGCTCTCATTGGCAGGACGCAGGTAAAGGGCAGCCTGTGCGCTTTACCTGATTAGGGTTGCTGTGACTGTCAATCAAGAAAAGTGGTTCTCAGGATACACTCTGGGGCCCATGCCATCCCCAGCTCTTTTTTTCCCAGCTTGCCAAGGTTTCATGATTGCTAATCCCACAGGCTTTGAGCCAACTTCGTTTTCTCTTTGGAGCATCCTTTCCACGTCAGGCAAGGGAGCCGGCATGAAAGCAGGTGAGCATGGGAGGCCATAAGAAAGACAGACACGTCTCTCCTTGAAAGGGAAATGCTAGGGTACAAGTCGGGACAATTTTCAAATCATCTCAACTGATTTCTCTTCCATCAAGGACTCTGGAGACTAAGCTTCCTTCACATGATGTTGTTTACCTCCCCTGGGGCTTTGGTGTTCCTGGAACAGGGCTAGGGAGACTACATCTGGAGGTTCAAAGGAAGCATTTCCATCAGTCTGCATTTAGGGAGATGGTGTGGGGAGGGGCTGGAGACAGAGGAAGCAGAGAGGGCCCAGAGAGGAACGCTGTGCTTCTTATAAAGCCTCCTGGAATTGAGGGTTAGCTAGGTTCCCAGTTCAAGAGCATTTTTCTAAACAGAGTGCGGAAAAGAAGAAAAGACAGACCATTGGCACCAGCAGAAGGCGCGTGGCGTCTGGTGGCTATGTTTGTGACATCCATTACTGTCAACAGCGCTGTTTAGTGCTCTTCTTGGTCACCAGGGTCATTTTGACTCCTTATTTTCTATTAGAACAGGCTAATTTGGGAGTCATCTGTGGAGTGCTCCACCATATGTTACCCATTCAATAAACTCTCCCCATTATAGGAGTGGAGCCACGCGCTTGCATGGAATGCAGGCTCTTATTCATTAACTTCTTTGGCCTTAAAGAGAATGTGCACTCATGTCTCTCCCCCCTCTCACTTGTCACTGTGAAAGCTCAGAAGCGGCCAAGCTGAGGGCTGAGTGGAAAATTATGGTGCAATAATAATATGTTAAAAGTCAATAGTACGATCCAGCCAGCAAGGCATGGTGGAGTAATTTATCACCACACTGGATGGAGCCCTTCAACAGTCAGGGCATGTGGTTATGATGGTCCTTCCTGTCACCAGTTAAGAGCACTTGGGTACAGTGCTCTAGAGAGTGGGGGATGGAGAGGGCCCTGTCCTGATCTTCAGCACACTCCCTACTCATCAGCGATACTCCAAGTCTTCTCACGCCAGCCTGGAGAAGTCCTCCACGCCAACTTCATCTCTTAGAAAAAAACATGGACATTAAAAGAGAAATCTCCCAGTCTCCCAGAGGGATTAGGAGTCTGCTCATCCAAGCAGTCATACAATGACGCTTATGATGATGGTGTCCCTGCCCTGTGCCCCGCAAACTGCCTAAACCTCCTGAGAGGGGAGCAGGAGAGTTTGGCAGAGGCATGAGGCAGTGGCTTTTGTTTTATTCACCTGCAAGGTCTAGACAGCGGGGAAAGTGCTTTGTGTCCACCAAACTCACAGACTTAGCGTCTCCATGGTCTCAGTCTTTTGCTACTGTGAATATTAAAGTGTTCAGCGCTGCCACGACAGTGAACTACCTAAACGAGCCCTTTCATAATTCACGTGTCTATTGCATCGACAGGCTCCCGTAAATACTCAAGATTTCTTGACTGGTCACAAGTTTAGGGATTTCATTTTCTTGTCAACAGTATTAATAGGTCTCTGGTGGTTATTAAGGGCCTTTACAGAAGAGGGATGCTTGTCTTTATTACATAACATCTCATCCTTGAAATTAGTAGTATGTGGTGCATGACTGGCTCTAGGACCAGGGAGCATCAGTGTTGGGAGGACAGTAGTTTTTACAACTGGATGGAGCCAGTGTTCACAGGACCATACTCCTGGAAGACACCTTGAGCCCAACTCTTCAGGATAACAGGCTCAGACATCAGTAAAATTTTCTAAGTTTCTCAGTAACTGAAGTTAAGAAGGGTTATGCTAACTCACCCATAAGGCTAATTAATGGCTAAGCATACTGAACTATTATTTAAGATTTATTCTTATTTTATGTGCATGATTGTTTCATTGCATGTAAGTATGTACAGCATGTGTATGCCTGATACTTACAAAAGCCAGAAGAGGGCATCAGTCCCCTGGAACGGGTGTTATAGACAGTTATGAACTGCAACGTGGGATCTGGAAACTGAACTCAGGTTCTCTGCAAGAGCAGCAATTGCTCTAACTGCTGAGTTGCCTCTCCAGCCCCCAAATTATTGCTCATTTTTTGTTATCCTTTCTTTGAGACAGGTTTTATATATCCCAGGCTCACACTGAATTCAATACAGCTGAGGATGACCATGCACTTTTGCTCTTCCAGCCTTCACTTCCCAAGGGCTGGAATTCAGGTGTGTGTGACTCATGTTCATGTGGTGCTGGGGCTTGCACACAGGGCCTCCTGCAAGCACTGTAAGCAAACATCATACAAACTGAACCCCACCTATTTGCTTTCCATCTGGCTTTACAACCATATTCCCTTATGTACCTTCCCTAAGTAGTCCACTTCAAAACTCCATCTACTCAGGCAAGAATCTAATCCGTATTATCATCAGATCAGGATTCATTTTTAAATGGGTAAATTCTTGAGGCCAGAGTTGGGTATTCAGATTTGGAGGGTGGTAATGGGGTCCTCGTAGATATCTTTCTAGGTTGATTCAAAGGCAATTCTGATGAAGAGTTAGCGCTGGAAACCATGGGATCAACGCAGTGGTTCGCAGCAATGCCAGCTGAGCTCCTCACGGGACACGCTCCGCGTTTGGAGACACTGTTGTTTGGTACTGTGGATGAGAATTCCTGAAGAGAATATGGTTGCAGGGACTGAGTGACGAAAACTTCCACAACTGTGGAGCGTTAGGAAAGCTACACATCGAGTCTAATTACAATTTATTATGGGTAATCTTTAAACTCACTACACAATCACTCTATCTCCTTGGCCTCTCCTACCATCAGACCTAACGTCCTGTGACGAGCCAAATCTTTTGGGACGCATTCATAGAACTCTAGCTTTCTACCAATGAAAGGACGAGGAGTGTTGTCACGCAGCACTCCTCCGGAGAGAGCCCACCTCTCCGAAGTTCCCACCAGTGCATTCTTAAAACCATGACTTGTAATTTCCTGGGTTCTAGTACTTTAAAAACTCCATGAAACTGATTCTGTGTTGAAAAATTAGAACTTGGAGTAACCTAAATCCATGTTCCCAGACCATGGTCACTAAAATTTGGCTCCACATTAAACTGTCTTATGGCCTTTGAGTTAAGGGCTGTGTTTTTGTGCCCCCTGTACCATGGTGGTGGCTGGGTGTGGGGAAAGCTGTTGGCATCTAGTGGGTAGACAGAGGCCAGAGAGGGTGCTGAGCAAATCCAGTGCACAGACTCTCACAACAAAGGCTTGCTCTGCTGCAAATGTCTATAGCAGGAGCTCTTAATAAGTCCTTGTTAAAGAGTGACATTTGCCACATGCATTATTTTTAAAAGTATACATGGCACATGGCCATATACCAGGATCCTACAAGATCACAACTTTCTAATTGTCGTGAAGAGCTAATTTAATTAAGATAAAACAAAGTATCTCAGGTACCGGAGACGCCCACCTCATAATGAATGCTCTGAGTTTGTGAACCAGCACAGTGCAGTGACAGTGAGACACAGCACGCCGGAAGCTTGGACTGAGCAGTTTGAAAATTAAAAAAAGGTTTTGCAGTCACTTAAAAGCAGCCCTTAGTACAATTTATATAGTTAGTTATTAAAATTTAATTTATAAGAATTTATATTTATTCAAATCTCAGAGAATTTTAATATCTTCATCTTTACAAGTAGAGTATTATTATTATTTTTTTTAAGAGTACAAGCCGGAGGCTCAGATTTGTGAAAGTCTGCTCATCCAGAACACCCATGGTTTTGTTTACTTACAACAATCTAAATTTCACTTTAACTTACTGAATTTTCAAAAACAGCAATTGTCAAATGCCAGACTAAGCTACAGTGAGCATCCCTTTAGATGTTTGGTCAACGCTGGCGTCATATCAGGATAGAGCTCGGAACGTCAGTATGAAGCCGAGTCACAGCTTCCCATGGCTGCTAGCGTTCTTTGATTTCAGGAGTACCTTTGACCACTAAGAATCTGGATCTATGCAAACAACACCAACCTTGCTATCGATCTCACTGCTCCCCAGCGCAGACTGAATCACATACAGCAAGGCATCCGTGAGCCCATCACACTCCCGCATCCTCCGGCGGGCCTCCTCTCCAGCTGAACTTACATTCCTGAAAGGCAAAGGAAGGAACATGACAGTGACCTTCAGACAGCCACCAAGAGACCACCCTTTCAGAAGAATGCTATTTTCCCATTTAAAGTGCTTAGTTTTACCAAGTAGATGTGGCTTCAACAAACACATCTCAGAGCTAATTCATAAGCATCTATTGCAACTCGTTAAGGAGAGAATGCAGAATTCCCAACAAGCTATGTCAGAGACCTAGGACTCTTGAGGATTAAAGACTTCTAGAAACTTCTGAGGCTCAACCTCACTTACAATTGAAGAAGGAATCAGAAGCTTTTGAACATTCTTCTTTAAGAAATCTCAAGTATTTTCACAAACAGAGCTGCCAACTTACTAAATACCTTAGGGACGTATTTTTAATGCTTTAAACATGTACTGTCTACTGCCTTGCCAGAAGTATACTTGTAGGAATTCATTCTAGGAACATAACTTTTCTGTGTCATTGGGATGTCTCTGACATAGCCCATAGGAAGGAGGTACACCACACTCTTTCCCGTGTTACATATCCTGAGCTAAAGACAACAGAAGGAGCCTGTTTAATACCTCACATGGTTAAGCAGACAGACATTCTTCTAGCTCTACAAAAGACATGTGATATCCTAGTAGGTAAGAGTCCTGGCAGGTTATCAGAGAGAATCTTTGGGAGTGCTGTTTATTTATTCTGTCACCTAAACATGTTCTATCTATATTTATGATTCAGCTCCAACCAAGACTTTTTTTTTTTTTTTTTTTTGGAGTGACAACAGACAACACAGAAAGAATGCTGGAAGAGGTGGAAGGCACAAGACTGGAAGAACTGGAGAACGCCTGGGAAACGAGGGTAGGAGAATGAGAGAGTGCCGTGGCTCTCAAAGTTGGGAATCCTGATGATGACCGTGAAGGCAGCTAGAGTGTAGTGTTGCACTCTTCTCCGGAGTCTGATGCTAAAAGCTTGGATGCAGGGGGATCACATGCACCTCCTAGAGTATGACAGAGCATGACAGAGCATGACAGGGCATGACAGGGCATGACAGGGCATGACATCTGGACTCTAACTCCATGGATGAGTTTACTGCAGGAGTGGCGCTCTTTGCTGACTGTTGGGAGCCCAAGAGGCTAACGACAAGAATCTTGCATTTGGGCAGAGTCTGGAGTGAAGGCAGCAAGGGTGACTTCCTTCCACCAGCTGACTGGCATGGTGCTCTCTCTCATTTCACTCCCAGCTTCTTTTGCAGGACTGAACTGTTTTAAAAATGAGGAGCTGAGCCCCAAGAGAGGTTCTGGGAGTCAGTGAAGGGGACCCGGGAAACCGGAGCACTGCGGGGCTGGTGCGGGATCTGGATGATTGGTTTCGTTTGGGATTTTAATTTAATGAAAAGAACGCAGGTGTAATGCTGTTAAAAGGCTACTGATCCTAACTATTTACTTTGATAGCTAGAAGTTTTATAGGGTGGGTTAAAATAGGATCAATCAGTATTTCAATATAACACTATGAAAGGTTATTCAATTTAAATAGGATTTTTTTGCTGATCTTAAAATATAAATAGAAGATTTTAGTTGCTTACATAAGGCAACTGGGTAAATATTAAAAACATTTTACTGTGAATTCTTGTAAATTCTAGTTTCTGTTTCTGAGAAGGTATCTGACGCAGATGAAGCAGGAGAGGAGTAACCGTCTGCTAGGAAAAATCTGTGAGTGGCATGGTGGTGTCATTCTAAACCAGAAGGGAAATTCTAAAAGAATGTTCTAGATCATGCCACCTAGAACTGATTTCCACCAAGTTGAGCTTTGAAGACATTCAGGAAGCTTGTCAAAAATTTCAGTTAGTCTTTCATGGCATGAGGAATGTTGGGCAACAAGGGGCGTGTGATTCTTGCTTGGTGGGCGAGTTTTCCCAAACAATTATGGAACCCAGACTCCTTAGAGATGATTCACGCACACCGTGGCACCCTAGCTTCTCTTCACGGATAACCTCAGCCCTTTTTCTGTTCAAGCTCAAGATGGTAGCAAACTACTTCCTTTCATAAGACTCTATGATCAGCCTCACGCCACTGGTATCCAGCAAATATACAGGACAAGTCAACAAGAAGTAGCAAGAATAAAAAACTTCATCAACATTAAATGTTTCCAGTTTCCAGAAGTAATTTAGGGTGTGGGGTGGGAGTGGCTGTGGGATGGGTGTGCACAGTTGCGTTCAAGTCAGCAGGACTTTGGCAGAACATTTCACATGGTGGAATGTGCTTCCACACCAGGAAGCAGAAGGTAGGAACTGGAAGCCATACCAGGCTCCACCCTTATGTCTCCATCCCGTGATCCACCTCTGCCATCCAAGCTCCATCACCTCCCAGATCAGCACCACAAGCTGGGTACCAAGTGTTCAAACCCTGGGAGAGAGATTTCATGTTCAAGCCACAGTGTGCCTCTTGCTCGTCCCTACAAACAAGCTTACTTTCCAGCTGCATTTGTTAGAGACTTTTGATCACCATTAAAGTGGAATCATGCCGGCTGATGGCTTAAACGCAGAGATGTCACCAGGACACCATAAAGACATAAGCTCGCTTCCTCCATATTTACTACGAAAGTTTTGCTGGTTATCAACTACAACTGAGTGGCTTCTTTAGTCACAGACATTGGCAATGAGTCAATGTCTAACACAGACTTCTGCCCATTTTACTGAAGCCATTTCCTGTCCATCATGTGGGAGGCAATTTCTAAATCTCTCTAGAATTTGTGCAGCACAACTATTTATATATATATATATATATATATATATATATATATATAAAACAGCATTGAAAAAATTTCCTGATTCTTTGTGAAAACCTTGAATACATGTATAATATTTAACCCCTAGATTAGATATTATAATCTAATACAATCCCCGGCTGAATTTTCAGCATATTATTTAACAGGTTCAGATATCAGGGGATTCTATGATCATTTTATCTATGAAAAATTGATAGTTTGTTTCTATATCTTTTGGTGAAAGACCAAGTTTTTATTCCTTTGCAACCAGACAACTGGCTCTTTTCCCTCCTCTTCAGTGCTACTGGACAGTTCCCTCTGACCCCCATTACTCCCTGCCCTTATTTAAATTAAATTTTCCATACACTGCTCTCTTAGGTTCCACAGGGGACTTAGACCAAATGTGAATGGCAATATCACATCATGTAAGATATATGTCTGCTAGGGGAAAAGCTGGCACGTGATAGAACAAAGCATACAGAAAACCAAGGGATGGATTCAGGGACATAATATTGCATTTAGCCTCCCCCCTCTACACTCCTTTAGTTCTTTGACCTGCTCATCAGCATTGGTTTTATATGGGAATCCCAAAGAATTGGACCTTATTTTACAGTGTTCCCTTCTGGAGGGCTGAAACATGTGATCCTAGGTGCAAATCTAGTTAGAGTGACTGAGATGTTGTTGCAGGTGCTCAGGGCAAGTTGGCTATTATAAGTATGTTATAAGTATGATGGCTATTATAAGTATGTTCATTTCTTCATTCAGAATGGAATTTAGGAAGTGGGGGACATGTCTGATGATTTACCTCCATGTCAAATGCTTATATATGAATATGTTTCGGAATTTGGATGCAGGCTTCTGATCCATACATAGATGGTGTTTGCCACTATTCCTTTCACTTGGCTTATTCAGTAAAACCTCAGTTTTCAGAGAAACAGCAAACAATCAGGTTCACTTGGAGATGTGCTCTCCTATGGCAGTTCAGATGACAGAGGGCGTGGTGGAGAGGATTGCTCTGCTCTGAGCCTGGGGGCTGTCAGGCATTTCTGCTGCACGTGAATCTACAACCTGGGGGCTTCAAAATGGAAACCATTTCCCCCCCGCTTGGGTGTCTAGGTGTCTTTTCCTTCCCACCTAACCTGTTTCTTTGGCTTTTTCATAGGGGTTGCAAATCCATTATCCTAGATATTAGATATTTATATCGTGATTCATAACAGTAGCAAAATTATAGTTACGAAGTAGCAACAAAAATAATTTTATAGATGGGGCCACCACAACGTGAGAAACTGTATTTAAAGGTAGCAACATTAGGAAGGCGAGGACCACTGATCTAGAATGTCCTCCTTGCTACCACTAGCCTATCAACTCTGACTGTCACAGTTTCCAGGATTAGAAGGCAGACATCAGACTGTGCCCATCTTCTAAGCCTTAAGTTAGCTTAGTTAGCTTTTCGTTGCTTTGACAAGCTTATGAAACAGCTTAAGGAAGATTAATCGTTGCTCATGGTTTCACGGATTTCAGTCCAGAGTTTCAGGTTTGTTGCTTTCAGGATTGTGGTGAGGAAGTCCTGGCAGAAGGATTTCAAGAGGAAAGCTCCCTACTTTATGGCATCCAGGAAACAACAGACATTGGAAGAGGGGTCCTGCACCAAAACAAAGCACTCCCTAGCAACTCACTTCCTCCAACAATGCCTCCAACAATAATGCCAGTAGCTGGAGACAAAGCCTTCAGTAAATTAGCAGTATGGGCAACATTTCAAATGCAAACCACAGTAATTCCCTCTGCCTTTCCACCCCCTCCTGCCTCACTACCGGTATTCCTTTGTAGCAGCTGTGAGGCCTGAAGGTCACACTGGTGCCCCCTGAGGTTGGAAGAGCAGTGGGGGCTCCTGTCATTTGTGCCTTGTCTCTCCTGCTCAGCACACACTTGGCACTCACCTAGTGACCACATACTCAGTGAAAGAGCACACAATTCCTTTCAGCCCTGCGTGCTTCTAGATCAGGTGTCTTTGAATTTCTGGGTATCAGGATGCTTGTTATCACAACTGTGTGAGTGTTGAGAAATCACTAGCATGCATCATGCATCTACTGAGTGGAGGTTGCCAGGACCAGGCAATCATCCTACAGTAGGCCCCACAACAAGCTCAGCAGTGTGAAAGCCAGGGGCCTTTTTTCAACAGTTGGGGCCCCAGAAGGTCTTCCTCAGCACTCAGCTCCTGCCGACTCTAGTGACTCTAAGACTTTGGGAATGATGGAATTATC